AGTAGACATTGAATCAGTCACCTCATACAAACCAACCTGACTCGCTAAACTTGAAACGGACAAATTTAAGCCTAAAACGAACGGATCTGAAACCTTGCATATCAAAAGAACTCCAAAAACCCAAACATTCAAACCAAATCTACTCGTACTAAAACAAAAACAAGTACTACTAAAGAGAAAAAAATATTGAAATAAAATCTTTCCACCAAACTCTTCTTGGTATGGAGGTGGTTCCGGAGGAGGATGTAAGGTGCTAGAGACTGTATAACCAAGCCCTATCCATCGATCCAACTCGACGAGGAGTTGGACGGGGGGTTGGGGGCGGTAGCCCCCCTCGGGGGTTGATCTGTTTTTGACGAACAAGTTTTCCGTACAATTTCGTACAGTTGGGCCGTACGGATTAATTTTACTTTCCCCCCTTGGGCGCGTCGTAGTTGGTTTTGGGTTAGGTTTTACTCTATAAATATAAGCTCCCCTCTTGTAATCATTGGTGAGATCCGAAAATAGCAATAATATTCCTGGCTTGGTAGCGCCCCCAGACATAGTCATTTGTGGCGAACTGGGTTATCAAATTTCGTTATTGTTCTTCGTGTGCGTGAGTTTAATTCCTAACAAAGGACGAGCTCTTGCAATATGGGTGAATACCAACTCCACCACCGCCGGAGTGGCCGACCAAGGATTCACGATCCAGCGCCATTACAAACAGTCAGCTGCAATCTGTTTATCCGCCAACGTTATCTCCTTTGACGTAGTTGCAATCCAAAACGTTAGAACACTTGCAATCAGAATAATCTGCCGCTCCAGCCCCATATTGATAAGGATTAAGGACGGCGGAAAATCTCAACCCCTACAAAGAGGGGAGACGGCCACTAGGGTTTTAGAGAGAAGCAAGAGCTCTCTAGGCTTTTTTTTTTACTTCGTTAGATCTTAAGTTAATATCAATTTCTCATAAAAATCATATTTAAGAACGGATCTTTTTGTGACAAAGCGAATGGAACTAATAGTTGATACTAATAAATACGTAGTAAAAAAATGGATCAGAAATATCATCCCTACTTTTTTTTCAAGTTTATCTTATATATGTAAAAGTTTGGGGAATTTTGAGTTTACACCCTACGTTTTGGGTGATATTGGTCTTTGCACCACATTTTCGAAACTTTTAGACTCTGCACTCTATCTACAACATTTTGTGAAGAAAAAAAATCTTGAATGAGATGCAAAGGCAAACACATTTTAGGGGAAATAAGGTGCAAAGTCTAAGAGTTTTGAAAATAGGGTGCAAAGTCCAATATCACCCAAAAGGCGGGATGGAAAGTCAAAATATCCCTAAAAGTTTTTGTCGGAATATATTGATTAATGTTTATGCACAGAGAACTCCATTTCACATCCAAGTTGAGGAACTTTGTAAAAAATCACAAAAGACGTTGATTGAAATTCTCCTTTTCAATTTTAATACGGAGTATACCACTTCGAATTCAGAAAGTTTATTTTGAAAATAAGTGTTGTTCTTACAAAAAATGTTTTCCCCTTGAGCAAGCATTAAAATGGTCTTACCTTGGGTAGAGCCGTCAAAATGGGCCGAAACCCGCGGGCTGGCCCGTTTAAACCCATTTATTGGTTGGTTAGGGTTTAGAATTTCTGACCCATTTAGCTCGCGGGTTTCGTGGGTCAACCCACACGGGTTGCGGGTTCAAGTGGGTTGGCCCACCGGGTTGCGGGTTGGCCCGCGGGCTAAAACACAAAAATATTGTTTTGAATTTTATTATCTTAAATATTGTTCTTTTACTACCAATATTATTAAAATTACAATTAAAAAAAACATGAAAAAAAATATTTATTTCTATAATAAATATTCAAATAAAATGTTCAAATAATTACAATATTTAATAATTAGTAGTCATTATTTACAAATAATTAATCTAGGTTTATGTAGATCTTTATTTTTATACAGTGAGTATTTTTGTCGTATACCCTTTTATAGTTTTCAAATTCCCGTATAATTAGTATTTAATATTTTGTAATTAAACTTAACAAGTATCGAATTTTTAGTATTTTGATTTCTTATATTTCCTTTGTTACTACTTACTAATATAAATAAGTACTTTCGGGTAATTATTTCTAAAGAATTTTTTGTTATATATTTTTTTGCATTGGCCCGCGGGTCAACCCGTTTAACCCACGGGTTAGGTGGGTTGGGTTAGGGTTGTAGAAATTCTGGCCCGACATTAAACAGGTTGACCCGACCCAACCCACATAAAGCATGACCCGTTACGGGACGGGTCGGGTTGACCCGTTTGACAGCTCTAACCGTGGGATCGGCCCACCAAGCGCGTCGTGTGCCGATCCCAAGCAGTGTCGCCTTACTGATTAAAAACAAGAGCATCGATTGATTGAGCTACTAGAGTACCGATGGGCGGCAATACATGCAAGCTTTCTTGTTCTTTCTTGTCCTTCTCCTCCTCCACTTCCTCCTTTCTTCTTTCTCTATTAATGAATGAATGAAGCTCTTATTTGGCTAGTTCGATCTAATTGAACCCAATCCACTAATCCAAGGTGAAATTGTAAGGTGTTAGAGGCTGTATAACCAAGCCCTATCCGTCGACCGCCTAACCCGGGGGGGGGGGAGCCCCCGTCCGAAATTTGTTTGGTCCGTTTTTGATGAGCCGCGAGTTTCCGTACAGTTTGGGCCGTACAGATGTGGGCTTCGCGCGCGTCTCCTATTAAGTCTAGGAGTTAGGTTTTACTCTCTATAAATACAAGCTTTCTCCCTTGTAATCCCTTGATCCGAAATATTAATAACATTCCTGGCTTGATAGCGCCCGCAGACGTAGTTATTCGTGGCGAACTGGGTTGTCAAATTTCATGTGTTCTTTATTATTGTTTTTCGTGTTGCGTTGATAAATCCTAATAGGAATCTCCCGCCCCAGGAGCCCCCACACCCCGACCCGATAGGATGGTGAAGGAGTAAGTCACGGTGACTCAGTCAGCAAAGTAGGCTATACACCCGTGCGCACCAGAGGTCCAGCCTTATTTCAGGTTCTGTAATCTCCACCCGGTCGCTGCGGGGATTCGAACCTTGGTCCAATGATCCAAATTTCCCACCACTCGACCAACAGAGCTACCCGTGCGGGTTTTGAACCCAATCCACATACACACTAAATGATAAACAAATGTTTTCTCTTCATTTTATTTCTCCAACCGTACAACCCAAGTTTGTTGTTTATGAAATTTTGAAATTTCAACCTCTCAAGGAAGGAAGGAGATGAATGAATCTGTTGTTCCAGTAAGATTTATGCATAACCCTTTTAAAATCGAAAACAAATTCTTTTGATTTGATTTAGCATCTATAGGGCTGCATATTATTCAAATTCAAATTAATCTGAATTTTTCTGTTCTCCCGGATGTTGATTTCACAAGTTACATCTACTTGTTCCTAAATTGCGTTTTAATAGGCTAAAATTACTTTTCACAAGTTACATCTGACTTGTTCCCAAATTATATTTGAATCAAGGCATTTACATTTAAATGAGTGTAATTTACATTATGATTAACCTGAAGTTACATGTTGATTCACACAATTTTGTTTCATATAACTGTGGGAGCAGGATGCTTACCCAACGTTCTTACGCTCTCTGACTCTGTATATAGGGATCACCCAACGCTCTCTAACTGTGGAAGTATATATACAGATTTCTCTAACTCTGTAGATAGGGATCATTGCATAAGTTCGATTGAGGTCTACTGTTAACATGGGCGGAGCCAGGACACTGGGCCGGACAGGACCGATACAAAGAATATTTTTGGAAAAAATTTTACACGGATTTTTTTACACTAAAAATTTAGACATTTTTAAAATTTGGGCTGGGCCAGGGCCAGGGTTGGCCCTCCCCTAGCTCCGCCCCTGACTGTTAATTAAAGAAAAAGTCAGAACTTGACTAGCAAATTTATAACTCGTTTATCAACATTTTAGGCTTACTTTTTTGTGTTAACGCAAGGAATAATATTAGGCATCTAGACCACCAACTCTTTCAAGCATGCACTAAATTCTCACCTGCTTAAGTTTACAGAGATTCAAATTTCCCAACAGCATGTCTGGCCAGAGTAAATAACCATTCCGTCTACCTTATACTACTAGACTACAGTACAAGATGTGTTTATTAAATGTCAGAGACCTCTTATTTTAAAGCCTTATATTTACCTGTAAAAGATTGTGTTTAATCTCCGGCCTTTTTACAAAAATATTATTAAAATAAAACTTATTTATATAAATATAACTATTCATTACTACAACGTGGTGTTGTAGTAACTTATGTTCAAAACTTGAACATGAATTACTATGATCTCATTACTATTCTAGTAACTAGTCATATTTTTGTAAATCATCTTTATTTTGATCATATTTATGTAATTATTTCAAGAATCTTATACACGCATTCATGCCCATGTGTCAAATAAGCCAAATAGACATACCCAGCAGTAGGGGTGGACTAGGGCCGGGCGGTCCAACCCGGTCACTGTTTGAACCGGCCCGAACCGCCAGCCCGGCCAGGGACCGGTCCCGATAGGCCCGAACCGCTGGGGTTCCGGGCCGGGCTCGGGACCTTGAAAATGTGACCCGGCCCGGCCGGTCCGGGCCTATTTATTTATTTTTTCTTTTTTCTTTTTGATTTTTTTTAAGTTTTTGGGCTGGGCTGGGTATTTTTGGCCATTTGAGGTGGTTTGGGGGTGAGAGGGAGGGTTGGGGGTTAATTAGGAAAAGCCAAAAAAAATTTAAGTAGAACCGAGGCCCGGCCCAAACCGGACCCGGGGGTTACCCGGGCCAGTTCCGGGCCTCCCCTTTCATGAACCGAGGCCCGGCCGGGCCCAGGCCCAAACCGGGCCCGAGTCCACCCCTACCCAGCAGGCTCTTATATTGATATTCAGAGCATCTGGTTCTTTTTAACGCACAACCTCCCATAAACACCCTACCCAAAAGGGTATACCCAACTTGAAGGAAGATAAAGTGAGAAAGTGTGGAGAGTATGACCATATTCAAGCTCTAGTGGAATTTCATGTCCATCTCAAACTTCAGACCCGATGAAGTTATAGAAGATTGGTTGGCAATTCACCCAAAAAGAAAACAAATAGCAATAACAAGAGAACAATATCCAACACTGATTTCAGACAGACAAAAGTTCAACTATGAGTCTTATGGGGGGCGGGGGCAGAACAGGAAAGAAAAACATAATAAAAAACAGAATCTGGGAGCAGCTAATCACTTAATGTATTGAGACATCCACTTGAAGCCATCTCCATACCCCATCTTGCGGACTATGCTGCACATGAATATCTCAAGAGGCCGGACGTTGGAATCAGCTAGGTTCACCTTTCCCTTTCCAGAAGTGATGTTTGTCAACCCCAGACTGTAACGCAATTCATCTTCAGATGCAGCATAAGGGATGTCAATCTTATTGCCTAAAATCAGAAAAGGCACATTGGTCAGGGACTCATCTGAGAGTAGAGCATCCAACTCTTTCTTTGACTCTGCAAATCTTTCTTTATCATATGCATCTACCAAGTACACAACTGCATCCACCTTCACATAAAAATGAGATTTGTTAAAACATTATACTTTAAGCTGGAGTAGAAACAGGTATCTCTGGACTATGTGTTAGAGAACAATTAAACCTCTCAACTTTCTTTTGGATCAATTATACTCTGAAGTTAGCAACAAAAATGCCCTTATGCCTAAAAAATTGACGGGTAATTATGTCCTCTCATGTATAGTTCAAGGATATATTTTTTCCAACTTTCAACAACCACAACAATAACATTACCCCAGTGGCACAAAGGCTCCTACCTACAGTGGAGTAAGGGGGTCGGATGTACTCAACCTTACCCCTATACTAAACCCCTATACTAATGACCAGAGAGACTATGTATTCCAACTTTCGTTGCTCCAAAAAAAAGATAGGTGTAGATTTATTCCATGACATACGAAGGAGTATAATTCAAGGCTATATTTGTTCCTACTCCCTGCTTTAAGCTGATGAAGTGAAATTAGCAAAAATCATTTGAAATAATTCCTCCGTTCTTTTTTTAGTTGCAACATTCCCATTTTCGCGCTTGCCGATGCATAACTTTGAAAGTCATTATATTTAATTCTATATTAGTAAAAAAAATTAAAAGGCAGATTATGAAAATTTGTAATGAGACAAATTTAACAATATTTTTCAAAAAAATAATTTCCATACATTAATAAACAAATGTAATCAAAGTAGAGCAAGTGAATAGTGTAAAGTTTTCCATGTTGCAACTAAAAAGAAACAGAGGATAGTATGTGATTGTGGTGGCAATAGCCAATAGTTGACAAGAAATTCAGTAAGGGAGATAATATTCCAAAAATTACATTTCTAGTGTAGTAGTGATTTCATATTACATCATTGCATCATATACCAAGGCTGTGTTTGGCACACCACAAGCTGGCTTATTATTAGTAAACAATTAGATGTTAAGGAAGCTTGTCAATGACCTCTGCTTTATGCATCACGGGCTAATTTGATAAGTTGGCCTCATTCAATTAGCTTCATTCAGTAGATATAAAATAAACTTCATGACCTTTTCATTTATAATTCCACTTTCATCCTCTCTCTAATATTCATGTCTACTCAGAATGTACAAGTTTGTGTCATCTAGTTTTTATAAGCTAGCTTATCATATCCCCTTTCGCATCTATACTTCTCAGGCAGCTCATTACTGAGTAACTACCTTTGAATACAACCAAAGGAAGTCAATAAAGTACTATATCATACGGAGTATAACAATAGGCTCCATTCAAATTTAGATCAGTGAGGCATCACACAAATACCATTTGAGAAATAAAACACACAATCCCCAATCCTCAGTGGTGTAATTCTTACGAAAAATAAGATACCTTGGCATAATAGTCTTTCCAAACACGGCGTGCAATCTGATGCCCTCCCAGGTCAAAAGCCTTGAACTTGATTTTCCCAATACTAAGTTCCTCAGATGTAGGGTATTGTGTTGGTTGATGTTGAACCAATCTCTGCTCAATTCCAAAATTAAAAGAAAAAAGATCCAATCACTCAAACACATCAACCAAACAGTTTCAACTCTCCAGTGAAACGAAAACGATCTTTACTGGATTTAGATATCAGAAAATACACCATCCTCGCCTCAATGTAACAAATTAGAAATGATATATGTAGTATAATATAAAGAATTTACTTTTCCAGGGAAAATAACTAAGGGGAAAAGGCACAATCACCATCTAGAACATGTCAAAATGAGGCAGTTTAAGAAGTGGCCAAATCTTCTGAATCCCAACAAGTTAAAAGATATATATAAGAAGACAATCATAATTAGCTGGAAAAAGTCTCAGGAATCACAGCTAACAAATTAATAAAAATCAACATCGAAAAAATCAAATAAGACCTTCAAATCGAATAAAACTTCAAACAATCAGGAACAAGAGATTCTACTTTGTCTCTACCAATTTGGAACTACAAACGATCGAAAGAGAAAAGGGAAATACAGGAACGGAAAGGAAAAGACCTCATCTTTGAGCATGTGAAGCAAGGTGGTTTTCCCAGCATTATCGAGGCCCAGGAACAAGATCTTGGCCTCCTTCTGCCATAGACCGAGAGAAGCAAGAATCCCATAAAACCAATCGACCAAGAACATCTTCCGTGGCGTGAAGCGACGATCCGATTGCAATCGAAGCTCCGATGCGAAGAGCAGACACCAAAAGACCTAGAAACGCGAAGAAGAAAAGAGAGAATCGGGGAGTAGCCGATTCGATCGATGGGCTCTCTTTCGATTGATTCAACGATGCACCGAAACGCTTAAAAGGCAGAGAAGACAGAATGGTAAATATTTTTGTAAATAGAGTAATTGTGAATGTACCTGTCAATTTGTAGACGCCTATACTTTGTCATATACGGACGGAGTACTCCCCTCTCTTTCATTAAGGACTGAGGTAAGGGCATGGTAGTTGAAGTTGTATAAAAAGTTCAAATAAGTCCTTAAATAGGAGGTTCGACCCGGTGGAATTTCGCCATTTCGGGCGGTTTTCAGTGGAATTTTTTGGCGAAATTTTTTGAGCATCTTATTCATTAAGTCTAGTTTATTCATTCAGTGGAAGACATTCAAATGAATTCTTGGAGATAACTGCGCAGTTAAAAACATAGTCATTTTCAAGAATTTATTTGAATGTCTTCCCGATTGAAGTTTTAGCTGAAATTTGGTATGAGTAACATAGACTTAATGAATAAGATGCTCAAAAAATTTCATAAAAAATTTAACCGGGAACCGCCTCAAATGGCGACGGTCGGACAGTATGGACTTATTTGACCCTTTTTATGCAACTTCGAGTACCAATCTGACTTTTACCTCCTTTCATTTTTGTTGTCCCAAAATAGATAGTTTATCACTATTATTTCAGTGACATTTTTGTATTTAACTATTACTCTCTCGGTTCCGAAATATTCTTCCTGTTTTTCTTTTTGGTCTGTCTTAAAAAAATTGTCTAGTTTCCTCTTTTGATAATAACGTGTGGCTTATATCAATTTACTTTTCTCTACTCGGATCTCAACTACAACTTTTATCTTTTCAATCACTTTCTCAAAGCTTGTGTTAAAGAAAACAAGACATTTATTTTGGGACGGATGGAGTACTTTTTTTCAATTTTGGTTCTTCAATTATCGTGCGAGAGAAGATTTTAATCATCTATTTCAAAATTCCACACTTTAAGTTCTCTAAGTATTGTCAAATTAACATTTTTAGTCATTTCAATATAATTTTGGCACAATAAGTGAAAGATTATAAATGTCACTATGGTAATAGTTGGATGACCTAAAGCGTCACTTTTATGAAAATCGAAGAATTAAATATGGAAAATTTCGAAGACGATTATCAAATCTGTCTTTTGCACTATATTCGTAGGATTAACAGTGAAAAAGTCAAAGTTGAGTATCAAAACTGTCAATCACATAATAATCAGAATACTAAAAATGACAACAGTTCTCCCAAAATAAGTGTCATATTTTTTTTATCGATAAACCAACAAATACGGAGTATATTAAATCAACAAAACGTGTGTCATTTGGCTGACAATACAATCAGAGAAAAAGCAGGAAACAAAACGATAAAAAACCTTTTGTCTGTCGTCCGCCCTTGAACCAGACTTAGAATCCATCACCTTTGTAGAAGCAATAACATTTGTTGATTCTGTAATGGGCATTGAGCCAATGACTGACAAACCAGACTTCTCATCACCTGACTTAAATTCTAGAAATTTTCTACTCGGAAACAAGAACACCCCCAAAACAACATGCAATTCGAAAAAAAAACAGATAAAAAATAAAACGGAATTAAACAAGAATTCATTCATCTTCTTCCAAACTCTACACTCTTTTGCACTCCATGGCGGCGGCTCGAGAGGGGGACGAGCGCGCCGTTCATCCGCCTCAATAGTCATGTTTTTGTATTGATTGACGATATCCTCCATTGATATCCCTTGTTGCTTAATCGAACCCAAGATCCGCCACAGCTTATCCGCCTTTTCTTTGTTTACCCTCGCCCCTCGACTAGAAACAACAACAGAAGATAAGCCACGACCGCCAAAGCAATGCATCCCTGGTCACGAGCCTGCTTGCATGACCAAAATCCACCGACGGCCGCTCTTCGTCAATGACGAAAGTGGAAGAACAAAACCATAGAAAGGGAGAGACCACCTTTTTAGGGAACACCCTAATCTGTCATATTTACTCTTATGTCATATTTACTCTTAAAAAAGTTCATAATATTTCATTTGATTATGTACAAATTTAATCATATTTTTTACTCTTTCAATCATTTTATTAATACTGGTGTCAACTGTCTCACCGTCAAACCAAAATAAGACATAGAATTACTTTTGCGTGTTTAGATGAAATATTATTTATAGCGCTGATAAAATATACGGAGTAAAGTCGTAAAGAGAGTATATAAAATGTATGTAAATGAGGGATACAAAATGTGTCCAAATGAGTGTAGAAAACGTAAATATAGGATAAATAGATGGCCAAACCCCCAACAGTAAGTTGAGTGACAGAGAGGCCCACAAAGAAGTAGGTTCTAGGAGGCTAGGGTGTGATTAGGGCCACAAACAATACTCAAACTTAGATATATTGCATTTATCGTATCGAAAAATATCTAATTTATTGAAGATTAGGTATAACGACATTTTTGCTACGGTATGGTATTATACTGAATTACTTCGATAAGATATCGGTATATGTTTTGAAAATAGGAAGTATACCGATATTTCGATAAGTAATTCAAATAATATTTTTAAAATTATGAAAATGACTAGATACACAACACCATCTTAGGGGTAAACTATTTTATATCCATGTTATGTGAATATAATTCTACTTTTTGTTAGAGGTCATTGTTGATTTGATCATATCTATGTTGTTTAAGTTATTTTAGGAGAATGTGTTGTTTTTAATATGTGACATGTTGAATAGCTCAAATTTACAAATAATAACTATTGTTCAATACTCCTTCTGTCCCTTAAAAATTTGCCAAGTTTTACTGGCAAGAGAATTAATAAAGTAAAAACCGTGTGGTTGGAGTTCGTGCAGAGGAGAGAGAATTAACTAGAATCATAAATTCTTTACTTGAAACGAAAAGTGACAAAGTTAATGAGATATAAAAAAAGTTGACAAAGTTTTAAGGGATGAAGGGAGTATTAAATGAGTTTTATATTTTGATAGTATATAATAACCTAACTTGTTGTATTGACAGAGATGCATGATAACTTATACCGAACCATAACTTCGTTATATCGAAACATGGTATAATAAAGTTTCAGTAAGACAACAATATATAGTTTCAATAGAGTAAAAGTTTCGGTATGAGAAATGTATGAAATAAAATATTCGAAAATGTCGTACCGACCTCCTTTAGGTGTGGTCAGATAACTTTAATCGCCTTAAAAGAATTACATCACCCAAAAACATCCTAATATTACCGTCATTAATTAATTAATTTGTAATTGGATTCGTAATTTGATTCACGGTACGGAGTATTTGTTTGTTCCACGTGCCGGCAAGACCACGGATGTTTTCTTTTGGATTGTTTTCAGTCCCAAATCAAACCAGACCAGACTTCCGTAGTTATAAAATACACAGAGACAAGATGTTTACCAGACCAGACCAGCAAATTTCAGTCCAAAAGAAAACATCCCAAGATGAGAGGTATTTTCTTGATGGGAAATGATGTTTCTTTTCTTGATTATCGATTAATTGTTTCTTTTGATTTCACAAAACGAAATTGTGAAATGCTCAAAATACATGAAAGCCAAGTTATTTTATAATTAAATTTTCTTCAGAGCATTATTTTATTTTCGTATCATATATTTCATTTTTTATCAATAAAATATATTTCAACCAAAAAATTATAACCAAGAAACTTTAACCAATCAATCGAATTTCTTTTAAAAATTCAGTATATTCAATCAAATTAATCAATTCTAATATTACAAAACGGACTCTAGGACAATGACACCAAATTTCAGAATATGATGGATAACGAAATTTATTGATTCACTTTTTTGCATCGTATTGTTTGTTGTTCGGCTTTTCTTACTTGGACGCACAAGGACACCGAATTTTAGAATATATTTGTGTTACTCCGTATTTTATTTGGTTATTTATTTTTAAAAGTTTGTAGCTTAATACCATTAGAGTCCTACATAAGACATAAACAGCGAATTATTAACATTATAGTTTATGTCAAACTTGATCAATCCGTACCAATTTCGTGTCAGTATTGTTGCTTTTTGTAACGTAAAGGGGAAAAAATGAAACCATTTTAGCGATGCGGAGGGAGCAGTATCTAATGGCTTATGGATATTAACATGGTGGATGAAAATATTTCAGTGGCAAGTATGAAATATCCTTCTTTCAAGCTTTATTTCAAGAGGAAGTTACAAGTCAACAACTAGTGAGATCAAATTGGTTCAGTTGCCCACGTGAGGGGAAGGAAGTGTTACATGCTCACGTCAAACAAGTGAAGAGAAAATGATGAGTTAATTAGCTAAAAGATTATATACAACCTTTTATCTGACTAATTTGGCTGACCTCGACCCAATATGTGGTAAATACGTTCTTCAAACCAAACCACAAAAATTGGAGTCTAATTTTAATGCATGGCAAAAAGGTGTATACAGGACGTCATAGATGTAGGTGGATTGAGTATGATTGAAAGAGATCTTAACAAAGGGTATTGTCTTTATATTTTAGGGATAATTTGAGTTTGCACCCCATATTATTGTTCAAATTGGACTTTGCACCCCGTTTGTAAAAACTTTTGTTTTTGCACCCCAACCCTGTATGAAAAGACAAAAATGTCCCTCGATCATGAATATGTTGAAGGCCAAAACAATTGTTAATGGAGGGGCATTATTGTCTTTTCATATGGGGTTGGGGTGCAAAAACAAAGGTTTTTAAAAACGGGGTGCAAAGTCCAATTTTGACAATAATATGGGGTGCAAACTCAAATTACCCCTATATTTTACTAGATCATTATATAGTGATTTGTTTAACAGAAAACTCTTATTCGTGTTTATTTTTGTCTTAAACCCTTGTATGATATTAAAAACTAGATTCTATCTTATAAGGGAGCTATGTATGGTGACATCATTTTAGTGAAGATGAAGGAGTGTTTTATTATGTTGATATGCTAGTAGACTAATTATTACTACATCCGTTTCATTTTATGTGTCTTGTTTTAGTTTGACACGATATTTCTAGTAGACTAAAAATTGTGATTGAAGTTTGAGTATAATAAAATGAAATGATGTGAATCACATATTTCTTTCCAAGAAAGAAAACATGACACTTATTTTCAAAATTGTCTAAAATGGAAAATAAGACTTAATTCGGGATTTTACCCGTTTTTTATAATATCTCTAGGGTCTTTTCTTGTACGGTCTTGGTCCAACAAAATTTCAGGACCAAGTATGATTTTAATAGTTTTCACATTCTAACCTGACCGAGAGGTAGAATTAGTGAGTAAGTAATGTTCTGATCATACACATTCGTGTGTATGTATTTTTATATAAGGGTAATTCTGTTTGCAGCCCTCAAATGACTAATCACAGCCACTAAATTAAACAAATATCTAAACGGCAATCACATAACAACGGAGCCTCTCATCCACTATACCTCCGCCAGAGCAAGTGAGCAACGGAGGCGGCACTGAACCCAATTGTAAAGGAGCTTGGAGATCTATGAAAGACTGGTTGGTGTTGCATTCGAAATAAACTCTTCTGATATGTAATCCCTCACCAAATATATCATTGACGGCAGGAATTCTTACCCGAGAAGTCACCGCAATTCTTATCATCTTCGTCCACCAGGATAGCTCGGTGCTACCATCAATCGACAAAAAGCCCTATGACAACAATGGCTTAGACTTAGAATACCCTGTTTTGCTCACAAAAGTCATATACTTGGTGCATTAATTAATTATATTATGATGGATGTACACATACAAACATGCTAATATGCTATGGTATGGAAAGTGCCGAGCATAAAAAAAAAATGGCCAGTCAACCTCACTTTGGATTGCAGTGAAGAACGGTTTATGTAAATTATTTTTATCAATATTGATTGTCGTTTGAAAGTAAAGCTTTGTTGCGTGCGCCCTTTGGATATGCCGAGTGCCGACTGCCGAGGCTTTGTCAGGTTACATAATAAGGGTTTAATGGGAATTAATAAAAATAGAGGGCTGTATTTATTAAATGGAGGTTTGTAAATAGAATTTCCCTTTATATAAATGTGTGTGCATAGCGCGTTATATAAAAGCTTACCAATACATAAATAAAAGTATAAAACTCACATCTTCTCATCACGCAACTCACCTATGTCTTCAACTTAGATTAAATAAAGAACGTAGTCATCATTCATTCATTTCCCAAAGTTGGCGGCTAAAGTTGTTTTTCATAGAACTATAATTTCAGATATGGTTTGATATGTTTAAATTATAAACAGGTCTAGTCTGAATTGGTCTTGATTGATAGGTGTCTATTATATGTGTATTTTACAAATGTTGAAATTTGATATGATCTATTTAAATCTGGTGTGATGTATTAAAACCATCCTATGACTTTTTTCAGGAACCATCCTATGACTTCAAACAGTGCAACAGGTTGTCTTTGATAAATGTATCAAAAGAATGGTTGGACCTGTACTCTTAGAAAGTGTTTACTTCACTGTTAAAGTCACAGCTATGTTAGTAAGACAGATGAAGTAAACAAGTAAGCTTTTTAAAAAGTTGCTTAATAACTGAAAGATGTGTTTAAAATGCCGCTTACTAAACATACCACCCCCTCGCCCATGTATTTATTAAGCGGCTCCTTGTTATTCCTCTACCCGCTCAGCCCTTACCCCACTCTACCACTCTGACCTCGACCCCACGCTTACCCATCCTACCTTACCCCTACCATACCTCTCACCCCTTTACCCTACCCTGACACTACCCCTTTACCCCCTACAACCTGCCCCTACCTTAACCCCACCTCAACCTCAACCTCGCCCCCTACCCATCCCTTAGCCCTACGCCCCGACCATACCCCTTACCCCTACCCCCGACCCTATCCCTACCTTGAGGGGTAAGGGTACCCCACATTATAATATATATATACACTTATGTTCGTGAATGTTTGTGTGTCTATATATGTTTAGAGTTATTTTGGACATTTTAATGTTAAACTGGGGATGGACTGAGACGGGTCAGTCAGGGCCCAGACCCGACCCAGCCCACCACGATGCAGGCTGAACCCGATCCGTCGGGCGGTACTGGGAGGCCCAAACGGGGATAGGGGGCGGGCTGCGGCACAAGGAATTTGGTGACCGGTCCGGGCAATTTTTTTTTTTTTTTGAATTTTTGGCATTGGGGCGTTGCTAGGTGGGTTGGGTTGGGTGTTTTGGCGAGGTTTGGGGGTGGGGGTAGGAAAAATTAGAAAACCCTATTAAAAAAAAAAAATTGACCCTACCCAATCCCGGTAGAATCCTGGGCCAATATCAGGCCTTAAGTCCAAAAATCCAGTATCGCCCAAGATCGGCCCGGAGCCGGGCCCGGTCCATCCCTATGTTAAATGGTGTTTTAAACCTTTTGAAGTAACATGAATTTACGACACTGCTTATTTTATATGCCGTTTATTAACGCGAGTCTTAATAAGCACGTCCTTAGTCTTGGATCTTGCAATTATGCAAGTGACTTATTATTGATCTCTTGTGCGTGCACTGTTTACGATGTAGGGCGGGGCATAGGAGGGAGTAGTTTCCACATTAATCCTAGATGCCTTCTTGTCTTTAGTTCCTTGCTTACCCTAGAACATTGTTTAAAAATGGGTAAATCAGGCGTTTTTCAATATACCCTCCTTGATGCCCCCTTCTCCATAAAGCTCCTTTAATCCTTTATAAGACTTGTAATCATATAATGCGACCTCTTGTCAAAAAGTTCTCTTCACACATCAGATTTATATATTCACTCATTCCCAAATCCAATAAGATTATTACCATTAAACTCTCAAAAAATACTCGATTGGAGAGAGTCCAGAGACTAGGGGAAAAAACTGTTCATTTCCTATTTGGCAATAAAAGCCAGTACAAATTCTCTAAAGACTAAGCCTCCAATAAATATAAAACGCCATTAGAAAACAACCAACATTCTTTATAGGTGATACAGAAACAAGTGACCCCCCTATATCATTTTGTATTGGCTACATTTAGCCAAGGCACTTTAAACAGCAACTGGCTCATTAACTGGGCTAGAATTTTCAACTTTGACCTGCAATTTAAAAGAATATAGGCAATTTATACTGCGCACTATGTTTGTCAGCACTAAATGCTGGTTTATTCAATTAAAGAAATACAAATATCCAGAACAAGCAAATAAAAGATGGGCAGTGCATTCCCTTATGCAGAAGATGTTCTCTAATAGTCTTAATATATACCAGTAATTTTTTTGGGAGAATCTTTGTTCATAAACTGAAGAGGATTTCCTCTCTGCCTGCAAATTTATAGGTGCACATATGTGAAGGATTTTTCTATCCATTTGGCCCTGAAATCTTTATGGCTTTATACCCAATCCAGACAACAACAAAAAGTGTAGACTTTGGCTATATATCTATATATGGTTCTTTGGGGAGCATAATGGATGAGATAATGTGAATTGTTAATGAAATGCCAAAGAAAACCTACATTTGGATTGAGTACTCAATCGCACTTTTCTTTCTCAAGTATTGCAACTGTGAAATACTGGTCAATGGGAGCTACTAGCGAACCCACACATGGAAGTCCGCCCCCATTAGCAACCCGCCCAACTTGAATAGAGGGAGCTTACATGGCACTTAACGCTGACTTGATTTTTAAAATTATGATAAATCATAAGTCAGGTCCCAGAGGCAATTATAAAATCCTGTCAGGGTCCATGTTGCTTATGCATTGGTATGGAGTTCTGGTCAACTACTCGGGTTAAAATTTGGACAGATCGCTAACAGAGGGACCTAATTGTAAAGGAGGGTGGAAAGATTAGGGGACCAATTGGTGTAATTGTTGTGAAGCAGAAAAATAAAATCAACGGGTTGAACCGTTGCCCAGATAATCAACGATAAAAAATACAGTTGCCCAGAGCCAAAAGGCTAAACCAACTTTTATTCCCATATAACAAGAATGAACCCTGGCGAGGGGTATAAATAGCCTTCTACAAGAAACCCTAATCAAGCCCACATTAATTAAATCCTAATTAGGCCCATAATTCTCTATTAACTCTACTAACTACTCTACTAATAATTAGGCCCAAACTAAAACATAACATTAACTTAATAATAATAAATAAACTATAAAGACAGCCCGTGGGCCCAAGCCCGGCCCCGCCCCATGCCCTTCCCGCTTCATATCAGTAATTGAAACATAGGGGGGCCAAAATCGCAGACGTGCATACTTAGGGGGCAAAATGTACAATTAATCCCATATAGTTGATAAACCAAACAAACTATATTCACTGAATTAGTTTGAATAAGATCCTGAATCAGCAGATACGGGATGATGGGAAAGGTATTCCACCTAGCGAAAGTAGGCTACCCCTATTAACAATAAGAAGATAAAAGGGAACAAAGACATTACCTTGGCATGTTTGAAGAGTTCATCAAGCACCTCGGACAATGTTGGATGTGCGTGAACTGCAAACTTAATATCCTGTACAATGCAGCAGGAGCAATTACATGGCAAGACAGTAGAAAGTATTTGACAGAGATTTTGTTACATTATGTTAACACAAGTCCCATGGTCATACTTCACTCTTTTGCAGGCTGGTTTTACCATATCAATTTTGAAAAGGAGCAGGAGTGCAGGACTATAGAACCTATTTTCAACTCATCACTATCTCATGAAATTTTTCATGCAAGCGGAAGTCACCTATGATGATTTTGAATTTCATCTCATTTTCCCTTTGTAACAGGCACAACATTCAGAATAAAACTTTGCCAATAAGCTTTTCTTCCCATGAATTTGTAGTGTAAAGTGTAAACTAAATTCATTGACACTTTAAATTCCATACATCCTCCCCAATTATTTTGGATAAAAATGAAAATGATGTTGTTTACACTATTCATGCTTACTAAAAGTGTTATAGCCTTCTAATGTATGGGGGCTGAAGATCGCTAACAGAGGGACCTAATTGTAAAGGAGGGTTGAAACATTAGGGGACCAATTGGTGTAATTGAAACTTGGGGGACCAAGACCAAGTGTTATAATTCATTGTTTACACTATGTCTGGCAAATCAATGGGAGTCTTTCTCCTTGTGTAGGGCCTGTAGGCTACCTCTTTTCCTCATGATGAATGAAACTTATATGGAATGCAAGTTTGGTGGGCGTAGAAGTAGTAGTAACAGTGGGATTACCCTTAATGGATTACCCTTGATGGTAAGGAGATACCAGCGTGAAATATGTTCCATTACTTATGCTCCATAATTCAGAAGAATGGTGAATTAGATGGAGATGGATCTCATAGAATACGAGCAAGGCGGAAGAAATGGAAGAGTGCATAATGGAAGACTGCATCAGATTTCTATTGATCGAGGTATACCAACTAAACTAAAGGTTAAATTTATCAGACAGCAGTTAGGTCTGCATATCTGCATTAATGTATGACGTAGAGTGTTGGATGGTAAAACAATGTCACATTCAAAAGATGAGTGTGACAGAGATGTGTATGTTGTGTTGGATGTGTGGACATACCAGAAAAGACCGCAGGTCTGATCCTAACAATGGGATAATCAGACAAATGGTACGGGTATTCCGAGTAGCACCTATAGAAGATAAGATCTAGGAGTCTTGATTGCGATGGTTTAGTCATGTGCGTAGAAGACCAAGTGATGCATCTATTAGACGAGTTGAGAGGTGGGGACAAGAAGGCGGGGAGGAGAGGGAGAGGAAGATCCAAACAGACTCAGATTAGAGGAATCAAAATTGATATGCTTCTTCTTGGGTTGGATGAGAGTGACTTAGGAGAGAGCAAAGTGGAGGGCGCATATTCGTGTGGACAATCGATTTCTTTTCTCTTTTCTCTCTCTTTTTCTTTTATGTTTTATTTCCTTTATCTTTCTATGTTCTTATGTTATTTCTATCTTTTATCTTTCTTGTATTCTTTTATCTTTTTATCTTTTATCTTTCTTATGTTG